GACGGCACCATGTTCAGACTCAGTCGTCTGGCGCGCAACACATCCAACGAACCTCGAGGCGTTCCCGGTTCCTCGGCTTGTCGTCTAGCCATCCGAGAGCCAACGCCCTCTGAGTAGGAAAGTCTGTTGACATCGGTCGACAGTCTACCAATGCTGCGTCGAAGTCCCTCCAACCGATCAATCGATTCACCTCGCTTCAAGGCAAAACTCGTTCTCGGCGTACCCCTTCCACTGGCCATGCTCATTCGCGTTCGGGCCTTGTCCTGTTCGAATGTCTTGCGCACACTAGCCCGTCGGCTAATGTCCTTTGCCTTTTGTTCAGCTAAATGGCTCAATTTGAGTCGCGAAGTAATGACGTTATCGGCACCTTTGCAAAAGACGCAAATGCGACCGTTGGGCATTCTGATAATGATGGACATTCTCTTCCTCTTGCTGCTGAATTCAATCACGTCCAGCACCTGGTACGACTCGACCTGAACCACACCCCTGTCATCATTTGTCTGCAACTTGATCGTCTTCGCAGGGCGATCAACTAACAGCCACCCCATGTCGCGAGCAGCTTCTACCAGGGCCAACTCATCTGGGGAAGCAGCCTGAAACGAAAATTCACCGTCGTCCCGTTTCTCGGGCAAGCAGGTGTGACATAAAGCAATACAGAGCAAAAAATGCTTGACCTTGCGAGAGAAGACGGTATTTGGATGTCGGCGGACATAGTCCAACATATCCTCCGTCTTGACCTCTGGTTCCTCATTCGGGCGAACCGTCGATTTCCAGTGTGAGGCGCTTGCAAAGGAGCCAGTTCTCCTGGGAGGCACTGGTCCATTACCATCCTCCTCCTCGTCTTCTTCTTCTTCCAGAATATCATCTTCATCCCGATGAAAGAACTTGGTCTTGTGCGGCGACACAGGCGGAGTCTGCTGCGTCTGATTGCCTTTGCTGCGACAACTCCACGACGCGGCCGCCTCAATCTTCTTCTGCTTCACATCCTTATCGCGTTGTACATCCATGTCGTGAAGGAAAGCCACACCCGCAACGCTCATCTTGCGGAACCGCATGACATTTTCAGTCAATGTGCCCGTCTTGTCCGAAAATACATAGCTCACTTGGCCCAGGTTTTCCAGAATGGTGGTCGTATTGGCCACCATGGGAGTGTCCGTCACGGGATCGTACATGTCGACGTCCTGCAGCAGGATAAGCTGGCCGATCTTGATGATTTCCATGCTGATGTATAAAGACAGCGGGATGAGTGTGTTGAACATGATGAGGTAGCCGAAAAAGATTTCCTTAAAGGGGACGCTGGCAGTCCACTGGCCTGTGGTAACTAGGTAGAACGATAGGTCCTGGATATTCTTCTTCCACAGCGAGTAACCAATGGTTAGTCCCGCAGCAAGCATGAGTACAATGACAATCTGGAAGAGTACCATTTTGTTGATCATGGTGTGCATGGCGGGCTTCTTGGCAGTGACGTTCTTATTGGCATTCATGCGAATCTTGCACTCCTCTCCCGAATTAACCACGATGCCAATCACCTCGGCAGTGTTGCGAAGAATCGATCCGCGGTAGACGACGTTGTTCAACGACAGCGGCAGTGTTTCGTCTCCGACTGTAGCTCGACCATCATAGCTGTACAAGTCAATGTTGGGGTCTTCCGAAACAATTGAAGCCGTGGTCGACCTGATCCCGTCCAGCGTGCTGCACCGCTCTGCCAGCAGAGGACAGGCCTGCTTACTCTTGAGATTCGTCTCGCCATCTAGAGCCATTGTCTCAATGTATGCAACGCCATTAGGCCCCGTGGCATGCAGCAAAATCATATCCGCGGGCACGCCATCATTTCGTCTCAATCTCACCACATCACCAACCTTGACATGTTGCCACTGCATGCACAACCAGTCTCGAGGGCTCATGTCACGCACGCCGCTCTCGAGGTCGGCATCACCAGTTGCGGCGCGTACCTCGGTTTGCGTCGCATCCTTCTCCGTGGTACTACCTCCTTGTCCGCGGTTCAAAACCCAAGTTTCGCTGCGATTCTCCGACTTGTCCAGCTGATACCTTCTATAATCATCATATCCCTCCTTGAGCATGCTAAAAGCGACAAAGATTGACAAGGGTACTATCGTCGTCCACCGTCCCACGGTGCTCAAGCCAGGAACCATCTGCAAGATACCCATGACCAAAAAATAAAAATTACCCAATTTGCTGAACTGGAACAGCAGCTGCTTAGGCACAAAATCGTACGCGGTATACCGACTAGATCGAATGAAGTTGCTGACGTACGGACGCTGGCTTCGCTCGTCAATCAGCGCATCTGACGGATTCAGGGGAATATGACGGCCATCGTTGCTCGGGCGCAACGGCTTCCTCCGTAATACGCCCTCCATGATCAGTTTCTGATATGTACTAGCGAGGGAGACCTTGAAGGCATCCTTCCATGAGGCGTTTCGCAATGCCTTGTTCGCCTTGTCCTTCCTGTTCTTGCCTGGCCTGAATCGCCGGATGGAGTCTCTCAAGGTCTGGGTAGTCTTGTCATTGGCAGGGCTTGTAATTGAGACATGGGCAGTCTTAGTCTTGTCTGTGCGATCACGAGTGTCGCCAAAGGACGACCCCATCTCGGTCACGGCATCTCTTGAGGGAATGGTAAGTAGTACATGCTGATCATTCCGACTCGTCGAGTCCACCAATGACCGGTTATTCGACGCCGGTCCCGAAAAAGACACAGCTCGCACAACACCGCTGGGGTTCGAGGGGTCGGAATTCGCTCTCCTCGGGGCCGCCTGTCTGGTCAGATTCGTCGAATAGCTATCGTTGCCGCGCTCGTGTTCCACGACGGGTGTAGCATGAGAGGCACCGTGGTCGTGGTCGCCGTCGCCGTCGCCGTCGTGGTGCGCCAATGTGCCGCTATTTCGGCTGGGCGGTTGTACGGGTGCCATTGTGCTTCAAAATGCAACAGTGTCTCAGTGTTGAGACGTGACGAGCTGCATGTTTGTTGAACTGGGAAAAGCAATTGATGCTCGCAGGAGGAATTCGCAAAAAAGTAAGGGATTTCGCTAACAGTCCAAGCGGGCAAAGACGTCGAATGGGAAGAGATCAAGGGGAAAACGCAGGCCGCTGGAGAAGAGAAAGATTGAATGGCGAAGACAAATGCAGCGGTCGTGCAAAGGCAGAGCTAAAGAACAAGAAAAAGAAGGGGAAAACAAGACCGTGGCAGGACGCAAGATGTTGTCAACGCAAGAAACACCATCGCAACTCGTTCAAGACTCGGGCGGGATGTCCAAGAGTCCACACGTGCGGGTTTCGGTCACGGCGACATCAGTGACAGCCATGGCTGCAAATGTCAACGGGTCCCTGCCATGTTGACCCCTTCCGGTCTGCATTGCCCCGTGGCGCCCCAGTTTGTCAGGCTCAGCCAGGGACACTTGCGTGGCCAGAGCCGATGAAGGAAGTGGCGCGGCTGCCAGTGGTCGGTTCAATGTTGGTCCATCTAAACGGATCTGCTCCTCCTGGCCCGTGAACCAACCAATCAATTAGCAAGGAACGCCATAGTGGCTGATGAATGACAATAAATGACAATACTACTCCGTACGAGCGGAGTACCACTCCGAAAGAGAGGGAGGACTTCCGGTCAGCCACAGGCACTACACTGCCATCATCAATCGCAAAGGGTGTGCCGCCGTCCATCCTGCCTGGTTGACCTCATGCGCATCAGCAGCCACGGACCGGCTACGGAGTATTGTGCTAGTACTACTAGTAGTATCGACCTGTACACAGTCAGGGAACGTGGGGCCAGCTATTTTAGTCCGGCCCAAACAGTTTCTGGACTCAACTTGCCATGTCCGTACCACCGACCCCGCCTGGCCAACCACACACGCCATCTTCCTCTCCAACCCCAACCCAAATACCCAACATCACATTCTCACAGCGTATACTCCGTACATGATAACATTCAAAATATGAAAGCTTTGAACCCATTTTGTATTCCTAGATGCGGCCGCAAGTATGAACCAAGTCCCATCTTCGCCAGCCCACCGCGTGGCCAATGTCCACGCTTCACCGGTGTAGAGGCAGTCTCTAGGCCGCCGCCGCAGCTGTGATGACACCACATGCCCAAGGAAGAGCCCTCAGAATTGTATGTCACCATCCCCAAAGTCACACAAACCATTGATGCTTTTGTGTTGCTTCTCTACTCCTCGGCGCACTTCTTTCCTAATTACAAGGAGCATAAAAAAAATCCAAAATCACTCCCCTCCTTTCCAAAAAAAAAAAAAAAAAAAAAGGAAAAAAACCTCTGCCTGAGCCTCCTGGGCCCGCCTATTATTATTCAATCGCCAACATAAACAAGGGACAACCGAAACCAAACAGCAAAGATAGAAAAAATGACCAATATTACTCAAGATATGCAAGAAATATAGATTAGGTCCCCAGAGGTAGCGCGGTGGCACAATCCACTACTCTTGGATGGACAGGTGCTCGAAAACGGGGAAATGAAGAAGCCAAGCTGAAGAGGAAAAGTAGAGTAGAAAATGAAAACAAGCCACCAGGGTGCCGTCAAGTCGCAAAATTCTGTGCGATAAAAAATATTGCAATGCGATTGCCGCAGGGAAGGAAAGATAGGGGGAAATGCACGATCGTTGTTATACCGCACGTACATGTGTGGTGTCATAGAGTGCTATCGTCGTGAACCAACACGAATTGATCGAGTTGCCGTTGCGTGGTACTGGTGAGTACATCGTTGAGGAGCGAGGATGTGAAAGAGTCAAGAGACAGAACATCCGCATGAAGAGACGGGGGTATGTAGCAAAGCCTTCTAAACGACATAAAAACAAAGAGGTATTAGTATCCAATCCGAGACCAAAAAATAGCCCATGGTATCAACTGCTTCAAGCGAGCAGAAACATAAAAAGCAACGCCTGCATGATATGTACATCTTTCTTGACCAGACTCCGCTCTCTTAGCCTTTTCAGAAAGAGTCTCACTAGACTGGGAACGAACATCTTCAGTCATTATCATGTAGGATGCGCAACAGACTCTGGTGACAAGCTGACAGGCTCGACATGATCAAACTGAACTAGCTGATCCATATCAAGATCGCCCTGTTGCGGGTGTACAAAGTTGTTTGGAGACTGACCATGCATGGGCAGGTTGATTGTGTGCTTGGAATACATCTCATTTAGACTCGTGCCGTCCTCCGAGACGGCACAGGAAGCATCATGGCCGCCACCGTAGACTTCAGCAGAGCCAGGACGGCCCATCATCGACATTGGTGGAGATTGTTCGACAATGGACGGCTCAGCAGCACCGTTGTATGGCATCGGAGACATGGTACCACCATTGTGCTCGGGGCCAACCATGGGCGACAAGAAGGCACCGTTGCTGTAGGGCGTCCCGAAGTTGGTGGGTGGAAGAGGCCCTGTGTCTGGTCCCTGTGACAGATACGTCCCAGCAGGGCTGGGGGGGAACTCGGAAGGTGAGGCAGTCGTGGCCGACATTGGGTACTGTCGCATATCCAGTCCGAAACCAGCCTGAGTATCGATCCTTAAGTTGTGGCCCATACCGCTTGGCTGTTGCGGGACAGGGGCATAAATATTCGGATTGTGTTGAGGAGGGCCCATCTCACCGGGCGGTTGAATGTAAAACGAGGGCATTGGCTGGTTTTGGAACATGGCAAAGTCGATCGGCCCAGGAACAGACCGACTGCGCTGTCTCTTGTGGCCGTGTGGCGGTGGTCGCATGGCCGAGTGCATCTGGTTCATACCCCAATGTTCCTGCATCATGCCAGCGTGCGGCTGCTGAAAGTTGGGTTGTGATGCAGGTCGTGCAGTTGGTGACACTGGAGCTGACACAGAAATCGCGTGCGGGTCGGCGACAACGGCGGCGGGGAAGTGCTGAGGGTTGTGTCGGTTCATGAACGAATCGAGGGAAACGAGTTTAGCCAGCTGGTTTGTCAAAACCTTTGGGTTTCCACCTAGCTGATGGATCATACATTGAGTGGCCTGGAGATCCTCTGTGAAGTCGCCAACTTGGTAGAAGCCGCTAGTTGTTGAGGATGAATCCATGAAGAAGTGGGGGGCACGGTTCAATTCAATGACAATGCCACCCATCTTGTTTGGGTCTGCCTCATTATTTTCCAGCCAGATGTTTTTGATGTACGAAAAGGGATACTCAATCTTGTATCCCGCCTGTTCGTTGTTAATGTAGTAGGTCATGGTACACTTGTCGGGTGAATAAAAGATGATAAGGTCCATGGTATTTTGTCCAACTCGAGTCCATTTTCCAATACTTAGGGAGCGGCAGGTAAGATGGTGGATCACTAAGGAACGATAGGGGTCAGTAAGGCTCGTCGCGTTGCCAGTAAACGCGCATGATACTCTGACTCACAAACTTTGCCTTGAGCTTGGTCGCCGCCAAGAAGCATGCCATTGTGACCAAAAGGCATCAAACCGGTACGACCAAGGTAGTTACCGCCAAGACCCTTGCCAGTTTCCATGGCTTGCATGGCCAGGTATGCCCTCATAGACTCTGGGATAGAGTCGATATCTTCACCTGTTTCCAGACTCTTCTTTGCCAACAACTTGATTTTGGCTCGTCTATAACTAACATCAGTCTCATTGACTCCACCCCGAATAAGAAATTCAAACGCCCAACGGCAAAGCCGAATTCGGGGGGCAGCAAGCACTGAGGGGGGGACATACCGGTTCTGAAACCAAATTTGAACAGACCTCTCGGTCATGTTGATTTCGTCCGCTATTCTTTCCCTAACTCCAGCGGTGGGGGTTGGGTTTTTATTGAACTCCATCTCCAGGATACTAAGCTGATCCTGGGTTGCTCTTTGTCTCTTCTGGTTCTTCTGCTGCTGGGTCAGAGTACTCTTTCTCGGAGGTCGCTTAGAATTAGAGTGCCCATTGCCACCAGAACTTGACTGTGATGGTGAAAGCTTGTTTGAAGACGTAGGCGTAACAACATCACTTTCGGGAAAAGAGCCAGGATCTGGCACGGAAGAAGCAGTGGTCAAGGCCACGGTATGCTCGACCTCGGTGGCCATTGCGAACGCGTCAGGAAAGAGGTTGGGACCAAGCGTTTGAGTCGTGTCGCGTCCCGTTTGCGATGGTTAAGCCCAACAAAGGGATTGCCTATCAGCAGCGGCGATACTATCGGGGTGGCTCGAAATCGTAGATTGGCCGGCTTTCAGGGGGCCGTTAGAGGTGAAATCGAAGCAAAACGGCGTCGTTGGCTTGAATTTGAATTCGATGGCGCACAGAAATGCCAGTCCGACGGGAACAATGATTAGACTAGAGGTAGCGAAAAGCAAGGGACGGGTTGGAAAACAATTTCGAGGTCCAAAGCTAGGAACAGGGGGCGTAGCGAGTGTGTGTGTTGATTCGCGTGTAACAAAATAGGCAATGAATGTCAGTCTCTAAAATCCCATAGTGGGCGGACGGTTAAGGGCCTTTGGGGTGACGTCGTGGATGAGGAGCCGAAAGAATGTAATGGTCCCGGAAAGAGTGACGGGAACCGAAAGGGCTACTGAGCAAGAGAGTGACTCAAAAGGAAAGAAAGGCGTCAAGAAAGGAAAGGAAGTAGCAACAGTACAACGGGTGAAAGATGGTGATGGGAAAGACGAAAAGAAAAACGGACATGGAGGATGGGCAGACGGGGGAGCAACCCTGCGGGCCAGAGAGACCGCACCAGTTGGCCCGAGCCCAGGCAGGCCAGCGCCAGGCACTTGAGAAGACTGGAGGGGGCAGACCTGGACACCTGGGATGAACGGATCTCAGCGCCGGGGAAGCACGGGGGTGTGGCAGCACTCCTCGGGGCACCTGGAACTCGAGGACTCGGCTTGGGTCCAGACAGGAGTTGCGGGAGGCATTGACAGACTGGCCAGACATATGCGACCTGCCTGGGCCACCAGACTCCAGCCAACCGCTTGACCGCTTCCAGGAGCAGGAGGGTCAGGCGGCGGATGCAGGCTGCGCAGCTCCGTAATGCTGCAGGAACAGGCGCAAGCCGGGCCCATCCCAGCCTGCTGCGTGGTGCCTGGCGTGGTGCGTGGTGCGTGGTGCGCTGTGTGTGAGTGTGCGTTGGGTGTGTTATGTTGCGTGTGCGACTGAGCGGCGCGCGTGGGAAAGGCGAGGGGCGACGTGCTAAACTCGGAAGAGAAACGATTGATGCACACCATCGCGCGCCAAACTTCTGAACTCGAACCAGAGGCCTCGAGTCCATCCATTGTCCACTTGGACACATCGGACCCGACCGGGGTATGTGAGCATAACCTCCCATTGGCCTCGATGTGCCTGGCACTTGGGTCTGGTACCACCCCGGCTCTGCCCACACACACCCCGTCTGACTGGTGACTGGTTCTCTCGCATGGCCTTCGGCGAGGCGCGCGCAAGACACCAGAAACCCAAACGACCTTTTTGCTTGCTTGCTTGCTTGCCCATGGGCATCCAGTAGTTACTATCAAAGCATCTAGCATCAAGCATCGAGCATCGAGCATCCAACAACATCCAGCGAGTTGACTCTCGGCTTGTCTCGCCACTTCGCCGCGTATGGCGCGTTGCAGCAACTCGAAAAGGGACTGGGTCATGTTCGTCCTGAGCCCATCATACTCTACTCCGTGCTCACGCCCAGTCCGACATCAGGCACGATATAAAGAGCCAGTCCGAAAGTTTACAGCCAGCATGAGCATGAGATGATGCAACGACTCAACGGTTTGGATGACAACCATGGCCATCCCAGTATTGTCCGCTGTAGAGTCTGCCTTCGGCCTGCCGAGTACTCCCGTAGCCTGGTGATACTCCGTATTCTGTAACGACACCAGCACCATTTTGCCAACAAGGACAGGGTTGAAGGACTCATGATGCTCCATGTGGCTCTGGACACATAGACGATCGCCCACCTCTTGACCAACTGGATGCCACTCAGACTCTGGCAAAGTCTGGGAGCTCCCATCTCCCCTGATGTCGTCGGCGCGTTGTGGGGATGCTTCTGATGCAACTTGGACAAGGCTTGGGCATGTGGCGGACGTAGACTCGCGGGTTCCTGAACTCTTCGTTCCTGATCTTTCCCCTAAACGGTCGTCGCGCCAGTCGGGGCCGTCCCTCTCAACCATATCCATGCCTTGTGCCTGAGCTCCTTCTCCACCTGCGCCTCCAGACACCTCTCCTCCATGTAACGTATGTACATATGTACATACATACGTACATGAGCCTGTATGTATGTACTGCATACTCCTTACAGAGCACACATACAACACATACTAAATTGATGTGCATAGTCGGATGAGGCGGACGAAACACTCAGCCAGCATCGCACATTCTTACCTGATTCCTTTGTAATGTGCGCTGTCCTTGTACAAACATCGGCGCAGAGGCTCGCTGCCAACATCACCCTCCCATTATTAGCATTACTCCGTACTCCGTCGCCCGCTCCAAGGGGCACGGTACATTTTTAGCCTCCGGTCAGGGGGGGTCGTCAGTTGCGCCAAAATCCCTTCGCCGATACATCGTCTCCATACCTCAGGCACGCAAGACAGCCATCCTTGTGCCGAGAGCCAAGGGTGCAGTGAGTGTGAATGGGTGGCCTGTTACGGAGCAGAGTTGGCGGCTGGCTTCTGCCCTCCGGCCCTGGGCTTATTCTAGTAGTAGTACTAGTACTCCGTACTCCGTAGTAGTACCATCCTACCATCCTCCCCCATTTTGCGATGAACTCGTTGGACGACACCACGTACCGTACAACTACTCCGTACTGGTTGAACAGCCCCGCCGTCACCCTCTGGCTTGTTTCTTCTGTGCGCGAACTTTTGGATCGCACCTGGCACGGCGTCCATGATTTGTCGTTAAAAACCGATTACGGCGACTGCAGACAGTGGATGATCTAGTCCGCATTGTGCTCTCTTTGCAGTGGGATAGAAAAAGGCAAAATATCGTTCATGCCCAGTGTTTCCAACGGTTCAGCCGAACAAGCCTCCTGTCGCAAGGCTCTGCCTAGATAGAATGTGCATAGAGTCATATGGCCATAATACTAGTACCCTGCCTGCTCTGCTACGCTCAACGCAGAGTGGATATGCAGAGTCTAAGACATGTGAACAAAAGGCATCATTCGCCCCATGCCCGCCATGGCGTCAAGGTCGGGGGTTCCTGTCCAAAAAAGCTGAGACTGAATGCGGCGCTTGATGCAGGCTTTCGTGGGCCTCATCGACAATACTATCACGGCCTGTCACCACGTGCTAACATATTTGACGGACATGACTGCGGTGCCCATGTTCTGTGCTAGTTCAGACTTTCCCACGGACTTCTTATCTTGGGCTCCAAGTCTTTTCCTGTCAAGGACCATTTATGCGATGGAATGGTTCGTCCCATCAGGGTGGGGGAAGTGTCCGATCATTGGACTGAGTTGTTCCGAATTCGGTACCTTTTTTGTCTTGGCTTTTGACGACTTGGCTCTGCTCTGCCAGAGGCTGGCTGTGTCTCCTTCCCCATGCCCTTCCACGACAAATGTCCAAAAGGGGCCAATGGACAGTGACACATAACGGTGTTGAGTTACACACGAGTATGTCGGGATTTGCCACGGGCTGATGGACCGGAGGAAATCAGTACTAATGAGAATGAGCCCAACCCAGCCCAAGTCGCATGAGTGAGGCAAGAAGCACTGCAGTTCCCATTGGCGAGCATCATGGCGTGGTGAAAGCTGCAAGGTACTCCGTTTGTGCCACAGAGAGTGTGAGGTTGGAGTAATGTCACATTCGCAAGGGGTAGCATGTTGAACAACACGACCCCAAAATAATAGTAGGAATTGGCCAGTCGAGAGAAGATTTTATGAGACTCCAACAGCGAATATGACAGGTTGTACTTTGCAGGTGTCTCCAGGTCGAATAGCAATCAATTATTGCCTCTTATCAATGAAATTGCAGGCCGCTTGGTATTTGTGTATGTGCACATAATGATAACGCCTCCAGGGAAGGCTACTGCCTAAACATTCAACAGTTCAGGTCAGCACGTCTTGATTCGCACCGGGGCTGTGAAAAATTGGCCGGTTTGTGCTATGACAGGATCTCGAAGTGATCTGTGCTCCAGTCCTTGCCACATCAGTACTCCGTACCCGTCGATGTTTATCATCGATTTGCCATCTCACTGTCCTGGGGATGATTCGAGTTATTTACTCGAGTGTGGTTTTTCACCAAATGGCGGTAAACCGAATGGAATCGACAGCTGAACTAGATTCTCTTGGTCATGTAGAAATACCTGGCGAACTCGCGACCACAGTTTTACCATACTCCTTTCTGTTTCGATGTCTTGGGGATCGACATCTGGCCGGTGCGTACGGCCGACTCAATTGTCTTGGTTGAGGCATAACTACAAATGCGTCGGCGCGGGGTACCAGAGTGCGCAGGGCATGCAAAGTTCTGAGGGCGAAGACATGGATGGCCATTGATACTGTTTGGGAGTGCGCAGCGCGGTTCCAGTGAAGAAATACATATATACCAATGTCAGGTCAGCCACGAGCTGATATAAACAGCCGAAAAACAGAGGCAAGATATGGATATCCAAGAAGTTTTGTGGGGATAAAGAGGCCAAATACTACGATGGCATTGAAGGTGTGCGGAAAATTGACCGGAGCTCCTTCCTCAAAGCAGTCAACTGCTTACGGAAGTTTAACACAAGTCGTACCTGCCACGTTGAGGTGTCACCTGCTCCCAGAATCCAGTTTGCACTTTGCACGAGTACAGAACCTCTGTCCAGCGAAAAGTGTCTGGTTTGTTCATCCTGCACAGGGCTGCTGGAATATGAATACTCTCTGCTTTTTATCTACAGAGCGCTAGGTTCCATAGACCCTTGATCCCGGGTGCATTCAAAGCAGTCTGTCTAACGAAGACAACATCGGAAATCCCACATCCCCGCATCCATTCGTCCCGTCTCTCGGCCACGCGCGAAGAATAGGGGTTGGCAACAAGGATCAGCAAGCCAACTCAGGGGTTATGCTGAGCAGCGCGTCCGATGAGAGACATGCTGTCGTGATTGCGGAACCGACTTTACCATCGAATACTACGTACAAGTACATACGGAGGAGTTGCTGTTGCCGTTGCCCAACCGGGAAGATCTCTACCGGTCGGATCATCAGCTCAGGTTATCTATTGAATCGGCCGGCATTTGTGCTGCATGCAAGTGCTCCATGCCTAGCACCCTAGACTGCAAATCTTCCGCCAACCTGGACACATTTAGCCGGTGTATAAAATTCAGAAAGAAGCCATTGTGCTTACTACCCTTCCCTTCGGTAGAGCGCATGGCAGAGGCAGGACGATGCAATCCCATCAATCTCGAGGAAGAAGAGCTGACACCGTTCAAAGCTAGCTTATCCATGATTATGCTGTTCCGCCATGAGGCTCAAAGGGATACGTATTGATTGTACTACAACCAAGACAAAGAAAGCTGCAAAACCCACTTGGCCCTGGTGAGCCAGACCCGCCAGGTTCCTGCAGTAGTGTCACCAGCCACCGAGCAAGCAAGCCCCTGGCCGTGATAGCGGCTAAGAGGTTGCCCCTGGTCAAGCTACTCAGTACCCTGTCAGTTCAGGAACCGGTCTGAGGCATGAGGGCTCCAGTGCGCAGTTTGAACATGAGCCGCTTCACTTGCTGCCATGTCCGACCGAAGACGTCTTGTTAAACGCCCTGGGGGTGATATTGGCAACGAGAGGCTGTGGCTTTTAGTATTGCAGAGTGCTTATGTGTCTTCTTTGACGGAACATCACATAAACACACAGTACGGAGCACTCTGCTGTCCACCGGCACAAAGGATACACATATTGGGTGTTTCCTTTTTTTTTTACTTTTTCTGTCCGGGCCGGTCTTCTGGTAGTATTCATAACCCTGGCTCAGTGTCGTCATAGCTTCTTAGCCCGGACTTCAAGCCGGTTTGGCCATTGCCACTGATGGGGAGGAGAATGGTGCCACTCTCTTCCGTCAGTGATACTACCAACGGCGAGACTACTCCGTACGGGAGGCTAACAACCTTTGGCCTCGCTGAGCATTCTGGTCGGCCATAACCCGCGCAGCAGCCACTTGGGCCGCATCTAGGCCCAAGATGTTTGTGGCAAGGTGCACGGCGCGGTCAGTGCATATCGACCGCCTGCTCGCCAATACCACCCCACCACCAGAACATCAAGACATCCAGACATTCAGACATCGTCACCCCTGACTAGACCCTGTCTGCACATCGAGCCCGCTCAGCATCCACTTCAGCCAGCCAACCAGTTCGCGATCTGGGCTCCGCCCAAACGACCACATGCCATCGCGCGTATCGTGTCACGAGCGCTGGTGGCAGCTGGGCTTGGTTTTCTTTACTTTTCTTGTGGGTGGGATTCCTGGCTTAGTGTCTTGTTTAGCTCACATGGAGTTGCATTGCCCATTTTTGAACTGAACCAAAGAATTTATCGAGACTTCTACAAGACGAAGGCGCATCATGTCTGGTCACGAACCACACAACAGCCCGACGACGGACCGGTGTCTTCTCTGGCCGAGTCTAGATTTCTGATGAAAACGGGGTACTAGATGTGAAGTCTGTACTCCGTGGCCATCTGCACGTCCCTGCATTGTCAGCCTGCTACGCGGGTGAGACTCCTCGTGGCAGCTCAAGTCTGAAATAGTCTGGAATCGACAGTCGCCAAGTACTAAAGAGTTTCTTGGGTCCAGAAGTATAGCCTCAAGCTCAACGTCAGCCTCGATGCCTTTTTTCTAGCCCCCTCACCTATGGAGGGAGGGGCACATTCATGCGCTCTCCTTGGCGGGTGCTGAAGAGTGCTCTGTAGTTGAGTCTTCCCATGCTTGGAAGATCTTTAGGCTGGATCCATTGATGGACGTCAGGTGCGCACCCGTTGCTTCATGCCCACGGGCCTTCTTGCAGAAACTCAAAGTTGATAAGTCGGGGATCGGCACATCTTCTTCCGCAGTGCGAATAACAGTTTGTGGGTTTGCAAAACGTCTGGTGCCACTGCGGTACCCCAACGGTGATCAGTGATCAACCTTGATAGGCATGAGGAGCAATGGACCGGCTGTTTGGCGTGACACACAAACCATCTTGTCGGTGTGGCCAGGCGCAATGGCTACCCTACATGACTCAATTGTCAACGACAGATGGAAGATGGAAGCACTCTTTTCACCATATGCTTGCTTAGCCAACAGGGTTTCCGTCTTGACACTTTCCCTTGGAACGGCAATGGTAGCGGCGGGGGAAGTGTGAAATGGATGGCGTTTACTCCGTACTCGCCCTTTTCCCTCCAACGCAGGGACACACCATACGCCCAGCTACTAGTTACGTCGAAATTTGGACGCCCCGTGTGACGGCTGCCCCGTATAACTGGAATTTCCCACTGTGGTTTCAACCAGTATCCAGTGCCAGGTACTAAGCAGGTATGCATCAGTAAACGCTCCATAGATGAGCCTGTACCTGCATCTGTCCCTGCTATCATCTCCCGCGAGGGACATGTCAGTCTCGGTCAGCCCCTCAGCCCAGCCCGACAGTCGCGAATCGTACCGTCGTGATTCATTCATTCCCCCAATCAAAGCTCCTTCATAACCTCACCCACCGCCCTGGCTGCCATCCTCTTCCTCTGCGCCTCGGGCAACCCCTCCCCCGCGTCCCTTACAGCCTGCAGCTTCCTCATCATGCTCTCCACCTTGTCCACGTCCTCGTGACCGAGTTCGTCCTGAATATCCCCTTGATTGTCCGCTTCCGCCTTAGACGCTGCACCGGAACCAGCGGCCGGAGCTGAAGGTTCTTGGTCCCCGGGCCTCGCCTCCCAGATGGCCTTTTTCAAGCCTTCGAAATCAGCGCGGTCAAAGCCGAAATCCAGACTCTCGGGATCCAGGTGCCCGCCCTCGCCCCCGTCGGAAGCGTCTTCAAAGTCGCCAAAGTCAGAGGGTGCGTCTTGTGCCCAGTCGTTGGATTCAAGGGCCTCCTTGACGCGGGAGATGCCTGTCTTTTCTTGTCTGGCAGTCAGCTACCCGTGATGCCGCGCGTGGTGTGTAATCGTATATGACGCAGGATTTGAGTTTGAAAAGGTGATTTTACAGGCCCAACATTGTCAAGGTCTTGTGGACATACCGCCAAACTCGTTCAAATGCAGCTGCTTCCCGCCAATCTGGACAAACTCCAAGCCCGCCTCGGCGCAAAGCTCGTCCCATTCTTGGGCATCGCTGTCCCCAACACCAACAGCCAGCCGGACGCCGTCCCATTCCCAGCCTCCCAGGCCGTTGTTGACGACGTGTCCTACGTGGTGGATGACGTCGCGGACGCGGTCAATGCTCTCAGACGAGGCTGACGGGGGCAGGCTGAAGATGAGGACCAGGCCGCCCAGCACGGCGAGGACCTCGGCCGCTTCATCGGAGAGGAAAGACGCGGACCAGTCGGACGGCGAGGCAATGAGGTCCAGCCATATGGGGACGGTGGCGGTGTAGTATTGCGTCTTGAGGGAGAGGTTGTGTGTTGTGCCGGCGAGGGAAGGGGACGGCGAGCATGGCGACGAGCCGGTGAGGTCTGGAAGGGGGTGGTTAGTAGGCGTATATCTCATGCGGGATGAGATGAGACGAGATGAGACGAGAAGGCGGGACATGGGATTGGGTGGGCCGCAGCGCACCTTTGATTACCCTGCTCAATTGGTCTGCTTGGGAGTCAAGACTGACGGCCAGTATCCTCCGCGGATGAGCAACGTCCATGGTGATGGTGATGGGTGACGGGGGGTTGAAGTTTGAAGCCGGTCGAGGTTGGCCGTGGATGGTGGGGCTCGAGCCAACGTCATGTGTCTCGCTCGTCCTCGCGGCCAGCCACCAGCATGATATGCAGCAGAACAGACGCATCAAGGACTGGAGACAGCGTCGCGACGTCTGCGACTTTGTTGCAGCAAGCGCCATCGCAGGCAAGCCCCAACCTGTCAACCGCAACTATCTGAACCCCTTCATCTCCCTCGCACCCGGCGCCTCATCCGCCATTCCCCTTCCCACGGCGTCGAAAATCCCCATCACAAAAAGCATATGCACATGATGTACATACGCCGCCCATGACGCTCGAATCAAGCCGTTTCCAACGTCCGCTTCCTTTGCGCCCCCGGGCACCGCCGTGGTTGGCGTACGGCTCCTCGGTATATTCAACGCACCAGACATAATTAGCACTACATGGATAGCGACAAGTACGACAAGGACATGAAGCGTATGCTGTAGTTTATAAATCATGACACACATCCGTGCATTTATCAAAGGCGGTATCTAGCCGTAGCTTGCTATACCCAGCTCCCCATCTACCTGGTGCGAAGCCAACGCCATGCATCCCAACCGCAACCTAGAGTCGTACGTGACCCCTTGGTTGCTTCACTCGGGTCCATCCCACGATACTCCCATGTCAAACGTGGCAACCGCGATCCCACGCCGAAACTCGAACGCTCAACAGCTATCCTCCCCCCAGCCAAAAGAGCGATTCACGACGCCCATGGCCTCAACAGCAGCCGCCACCGCATCCCCCTGCCGGCCGGCTCCCCCCCGCGCCCAAGTCCTCTGCAGGTCGCCCTGGTCCAGCAGGCCCCTCCTCCTCTCCAGCATGGCCCTCTGGATGGTGCCCGCCCAGACGGCGTACCACGCCTCCTCGACACGGACATGGACATCGCCCATCCGCCACTCGGCCGTGACCGTCTCCCAGCGCCGCGTGGCCAGGAACAACGCCGGCCACGCGAGCACAAACGCGAGCGAGAAGGTGAAGAGCGCGACGACCCACGGCGTCAGCCGCCACCGGTTGACGCGGCAGTCGCTGTAGACGTGCCCGCGGGCCTGCCGCACGGGGAACCGCACCTCGACGCGCCCGCGGTAGTTGGCCGCGCGCGCGAGGCCCTCGAGCCGGGCGCCCAGCGCGTCCCAGTCGCACCCCTCGACGCGGCGCTGCACCGTGAAGCACCGCAGCCACGAGGCCGACGCGCAGTACCGCCGGCACCACTCGCGCAGCTCCGGCGTGCCTTCTTCCGGGACGGGCCCCGCGCCGCCGAACCCCGGGGCGCGCGTCGCGAAGACGGTCCCGCGCCGCACCTTTTCCAGGTTGCCCGCCGTGCGGATCGACCGCCGCGCCTGCGCCGTCCGCGCGTCGCTGTAGAGGAGGTGCGTGAGCTCAATCTCAATGTCGAAGTCGGTCACCGTCTTGGTCTCCCTGCTGCTGCCCCTGTTGTCGTCGTCGCCGCCGCCCGAGCAGCTCTCCGTGTGCGTGCCGACGAGCTTGACAAACGGCCGCGGGGGCACCTGGCACAGTTTGTAAATGTGGCCGGCCAGGAAGTCTGGGTCGCGGTCGAGCCTGCGGTCGAGGAAGTAGGTGCTCGTTTCGTCGCGGCGAAACGGGTGCACCGTCTCAAAGATGTCGCCGTGGGGGAGCCGCGGGAGGAGAGGGTCAAAGGGCGTGAAGGAGTCGGTGTTGTGGTTGAACTCTTCGTGATCCGAGTACAGGGGAGGCAGGTCGTCGTCGTCGTCGTCGTTTGTGAGCTCGGCCGTGTCTTCGTCAAAGTAGCGATGGGGCGGCGGCGGCGGGTGGATGGTCATGGACGCAGATGCTTCCGTGGGGCACGAGGGTGTTGAGGAGGACGAGGGGTTGGGCGACGCGGCGTCTAAAGGCTTGCCCATGGTGTTGACGCGGGGGCGGACAGACAGCACTACTCGGCTTTTGCTATCGACACCAAACAGCAGCAGCAGCAGCAGCACGCGGGGAAGCAGACGCAGCGAGGAATCAGCACTGAGAATTCAACGCAGCCGGCCGTGACAAGAAAAGTGGCAGAGACAAACTGACGGCCCAACAAAGGCCGGCAGGAGAATCAATGCGTCCGAGTCGGAGGCGCCAGCCAGGCAGTCGGCCAGCATGAAGCATCTGGTTGGTCCGTCTTTGTCGCACCGCCAGAGATGCCAACCCCGTCCACGTAATCCGCATTTCCCAGACCTGGCAGCCCACGAATTCACTGCCTGGCCTAATTAACTTACTCCGTACCTCGCATGCAGTACACGACCTGATGGAGCAAATGTTGAGCCGTTGCAACGGCTGGCCACCTGCATGCGTGGCCTTGGCTCAGCCACGCCGTCCGACCTCCCCCAATCCGGAATCATGACACGAGTCCGTCTAGCATCAACATCACCCATCATCAACACTGCGTCTTAAGCTTGATTTAGTATTACGTAATACACCCAAGAATACTCCGTTACATGCATATGATCCAACAAAAGAAAAAGAAGAGAAAAATCAAGACCGAGCTGCGCTTCCCAGTGAGCCACGCTAATGACATGTCCGTCTACCTACAATGTCCCGCGCCTCATTTATTTGCGGCTTCATGCTTCCAGCTTTGTACTTGTGTCGTCGCATTGGCCTCGTCGCCTACACTCCCTTGCTGGGTATATCCATTCCAGTAGTGCCTCCTTTGCTTTCCCTTTTCCTGTACAACACCCAACGCTTAGGCGTCGCCGACGTCCACCAGCCTATCCTCATCCCACTTCCTCTTTGCTGCCTTGACTAAAACGTCAAGCTCACCGCTCATCTCACACATGCTGTAGAACTGCCCTTCCTCGTCGCTAATTAGCTCCCAGGGGTGCCCAAACTGCTTTACTTCACCGTGGTCCAGCACCAGCACCTTGTCATAGTCCACAATCGTCTGCAGACGGTGAGCAATCGTAATGACAGTGCCCGTAAGCTCCCGGATGGTTTCTTGAATTTTGGAGTCGGTGTTGTAGTCAATTGAAGCAGTGGCTTCGTCCATTACGAGCACTGTTGGTTTCTTAAGCATAGCCCGAGCCAAGCACAGCAGTTGTCGCTGGCCTTGTGACAGGTTTGATCCAGACTCGGTAACTGGTGACGAGAGATCCAAGAAGATGTTCTTGTTCGTCATCACAGAAGGTACCGGCGATCGGGTGACTTGAGAATCTTTTGCCACTTGGATGGTTGGCGTCGTCGGGTTGGTGCCTGGCTCGTCTGCTCCAATCAGCTGGACCCGGCGAAGCGCTTCAAACACTTGCTCATCCGTATACTGATCAAAGGGGTCCAAGTTGGACCGGATTGTGCCCATGAACAAGGTCGGATCCTGGGGCACAATGGTGATGTTCTCTCGCAAGTCTCGCAGGCCAATCTTGCCGATATTGACGCCGTCAATGACGATGCGGCCCTTCTCGGCCTCCAGCGCACGGAATATTGCCAGCGCCAGTGAACTCTTGCCAGCTCCCGTCCGCCCAACAATACCAACCTTCTCCCTGGCGTTGATCTTGAGGGTGATGCCCTTGAGGACGGGGTCCAGATCCTCTCGGTAACGAGTCGTGTAGTCAACAAACTCGACGTTGCCCTTGTCCGGCCATGACTCTGGTGGGCGGTTCTTTTCCATCACCGCCGCCGCCTCCTGATCAAGATCAAGGTACTCCTTGACTCTCTCCATTGAGTTCATGTTCTGTTCGTTCATACCATATAAACGAACTAACCAGAGAACATTCTCGGTAAAATTCATGGCATAGCTCAGCGAGATACCCGCTGCACCCGCATCAATCTTGCCCAGGCTCAGAATGATAAAAACACCAGCAGAGAAGGAAACCAGGTTACCCAGCAGGTCAGCACGGAATGAGAGCCATCTGTTACAGGCCCAGAGGTAGATGAATGGCCTGCTCTGCGTGTTCACCTTGGCCAAGTTGTCGCGAATGAAACGCCTCTCGTCACCATAAGCACGAATGGTTGTCATACCACTCAGAGTCTCGCCAAACTGCTGGAACAGTGGACTTCGCTGCACAGACTCGAGGCGCTTGAGATCACGAGAAGCACGTAGGTAGAAAGTGGCGACAAAGTAGAAGATGCCACCAATGAAGACGGCAGCAATCAAGAAACCGGGAGTGATGACGGCGATCAGGACAACCGTTACTATCAGAGAGAGCGCACATGACATGACACCAATGGCAGTAGCCGCTATTTCCTGGTCGACGGCTTCGAGGTCTTTACTGAAGCGGTTCATCAGTTGACCGAGGGGTGTCACATCAAAGAACTTGAACTTGGCACGAGTCACTGCACCCATGAGCCTATCGTGAAGTTTTCTTGATGCTGTCAGAGACCCGTAGAAGATCCAGACATCCCGCACAAATGCTGCGAAAGAACCGAGTATACCGATAATAGCCAGTCCCGACAGATAGTACGCCACGTTGACCTGAGGGGTGACCAGCGCGGAAAATGACACCTGACCATAGACCTTGCCAGAACTTGATTCGGCAGCAATAGCGTTGCTGCCAAGACGGGAAATAGATGCCCAGGATCCTTTGGAGAATGCCCCGGAGCCGTACGACTGAGAGAGCGTACCGACTGCAACCATTGACTCTTCTTCGACGTATTGGTTCGCCCATTGTCTGACCCACACATTGGTCGCAACTGTGGCCAATTGCTGAAGATTGAAGACGATGACGGCCAAAACCCAGAACCACCAGGGGCCCATGGCTTGAACATAAACCTTCATCACTGGCCATTTGACAGCACCGGAGGCCTTGCCCTCGTCCATAGCATCAATCTGGGGCTTCTTCGATTTGGCCTTCTTTGAAGCGGCACTACCGTCTTGGGATTCGCCATTGCTGTTGACCATTGTCTCGCCGTCGCCAACACTTGACGGAACTCTGGAGGGTACTCGTGATGGACCTTGGGAACCAGCCGAAGATGCAGGGCGGGATTTCTGAATCTCTTCACCCAAGACTCCAGAAGCAATAACCTTTTGCGCCGAGCCCTGAGATATGACACGACCATTGTCAAGATACACTACGTAGTCGGCCGAGGGTACGCATAGGGCCACATTGTGGGTAACCAGAATGCAAGTTCGGTTTGCCATTAGGGGACCACGGATGCAGTTGGTGAAGATCCATTGGGCGGTGTGAGAGTCAACGGCGCTCAGGCAGTCGTCCATGAGAACGTGAGCAGAGTTGGAATACAGAGCCCGAGCCAGAGAAATTCGCTGCTTCTGTCCACCCGAAAGCGTGATGCCTTTTTCTCCAACGAGTGTCTCGTCACCATGGTCCAAAATCTCAAGATCGCGTTCCAAGGCACAGGCGACAATAACATCTCTATATCGTTGTGGGTCGTATGGCGCCGAAAAGAGAATGTTGTCCCGAATGTTGGCATTGACGAGCCACGCAGACTGAGCAACGTAAGCGACAGTATCAGCCAACCGAGTTTCGGGGTCAGGCTTGACTTCTTCTCTGCTTCGACCACCAGGACAATAAATCTTGCCCTCCATTAATGTCATCTCGCCAAGAAGCCCCATCAACATTGATGATTTTCCACTCCCTGTAGAGCCTGCAATGATATTGAGCTTGCCCATCTCAAAGTCGACATTCAGGTCCATCAATCGGAAGGCTCGCGAACCGTCCTCAGCAACCGTGTCCTTGCCACCCCAAATCAGGGTTGCGTCCTTGAATCCAATATGCTTCACACCTTGTTCGTCCACATTGTCTTGTCCAAGCTGCTCATATTTCTCAGTCTCTTCTTCATTCAAGAACTCTTCAACACGATCAATAGAGACCTTTGCTTCCTGCACATGGGCAAACATATCACCCAATTGGTCGAGGGGAACTCGTAGCAGCATGAAGAGGGAGATGGCGGTGAAGGCAATGGAGGGATACAGAGGTTTCTTTTCAATCAGTGTGTATACAAGGAAAGAGAAGAATGTGATTAGGACTGGAACAGAGTTCCAGATGGCCACAGCGCATGCCCAGAGGGTGAATCGGGATCGTAGCGCATTAAGCTCAGCCTCTCGCTTTTCATCGATGGAGCGCCCAAATCTCTCTTCCCAGGCAAAGTATTTGATGATACGGATATTTTGGAGGACTTCGTTAGTCACATTGATTCGCTTGTCAGTAGCTTTCATAATGTTCTTGGAGGTTATGTTAAAACCCTTTGCCAGGAAATAGTTGACGGGGAGAAGGAAAACCATGACGACCAGACCAGGAATAGCACTGAGTCCCATGACCTGCCAGAGTAAGACGACAGAGATGATAAGCTGGGTTGGAGCCGCAGCGCATAGAAAGTGGAGGTAAGCAGTGATTTCGGCAATCTTGAAGCTATCCACTGACATCAGATTGATAATAGTTCCCAAGTTAGCCTGATCATCGTCACCAGCGGGTTTGCTGTCGTCGACATTGATGCTACCAGCAGACTCTGTGTCGCTTGCCGAGGCATTCTTGCTCTTGTTACGCTTCCGTAGACCAAGGGCGCCTTTGATCTTGGCAATTGTACCCTCACTGTCGGGATCAGCGTCCTTTTTGGTCTTCTTTGAGCTCTCCCCAAGGACCTTGTCTTTGCCGGCCGCAGCTTTTCGACGGAGGGCCTTGGCGTAAATGTCGCCAATAATAATGGCACGAACGCGGATGCAAATCTTCCGACCGGTCCAGAGCGCCATACCATCAGCATAGGATCGGATGGTGTCAAGGACAGGAAGTCCAATGACATAAAGCCAAAGAACGTTAATAGGAGCGCGATCAGGTTCCTCGACATACTCGAGAATGGCCCTCAAGAGGAGCGTTGGCGCAAATGTGAAGAAGCCGGAGACAAAGGCTAGGAAGCATTGGAAGAATAACATGCCCTTGAAGTATTTCAGCATGTGCCATGCCAGAGCACCAGTCTTCTTCAG